AATAATTTTACAAAGTATTTCGAACCAATTCAAAGCCAAAAATTCCAGATTGCTCAGAGGGAACCGATTCCCCCCCATAGGAGGAACCGATTCCCCCCTGAATGGTTTGGCTCCGAGATTTCCAGAATGCTCGGAGGGAACCGATTCCCCCCAAGGGGGTACCGATTCCCCCCTGTTCAACGGTCGAAATATTTGAATTTTACACTTAGGGAACCGATTCCCTATGAGGGGGAACCGATTCCCCCCACGCTCCAAGCTGTTTTATTAAATGTTTTCACACTAAAACGGCTATAATATCTTCTCTAATCATCCCCAACGTTCAGAAGTGATCCAAGGTGTATTTAAGCAAGCTTAGAAGCCATTGATCAACAACAAGAAATATCAAGCAACTAGAATCAAGAGAGAATCAAAGAGAAAGCATCAAACCTCAAGTTTGAGTATTTCAAGCCTATTTTCATTCAATATTCATTTTGCTTTCAAGAACACTTTTTGTGCTCAATTGTATTCATCTTTGAGTGTTCTTTTCTTTGTTCTAGAATTGTGCAAACATCTTATCTTATGAGGTTTTCTTGTAAGTTTGCAAATTTGTAATCTTCTCTTTGAGAAAAGAGTGTTCTCAAGAGTTGGGGTATACTCTTGAGGGAATTGTAAGGTTATCTCTTTGGCCTCAAAAGAAAGAACAAATTAGTGAATTTGTTGGAAAATCCTTAGTGTGGATAGCTAAGGTAGTGGACGTAGACTTTGTTTGAGAAAGTCGAACCACTGTAAATCGTTGTGCAATTACTTTCAATTTTCTGCAAAAGCTTCCACAAATTTTTTTATTGCCAATTCACCCCCCTCTTGGCCAATTTCGTCATTCGATTAACTCAACCGTTCCTTATCAGCATCACTCATCGAATTCCATTTCTCCAACACATCATTTATCACCTAATATTAAGCATAAACATTTCTTAATCAATACATTAACGCTAAATAATACTCAATGTCAATTTCAATTTACATACTGAACCGATGTGTTCGCCACCTTCCTTCATCCTTTGGCATTCAGTTATACTGTCAACATTTAAAATTTGTAATTAATTTAAAGTTCTTAAATACTTTAATCCAATTACCATTTCAACAATAATAACAAAAAGACATTGATACTTACTAGAAGTACATATATCCACCCTTTGGTTGCTTTCGAGTCTCGGCCTCAATTTCAAAGTCATCTGCACCACCAACAATTTTTCCACCCATTGACTCCATTTTTCCTTCATATATCAGTTTACGCAAATCAAATCAAATACTTGTTACATACACTTTATTTAATATACAAATATAGATAACTACTCTTGTCGTAAAACGGTTTTCTTCAAAAGAATTTGAATGACAATTACAAAATGTGTCGACACATTTATACAACCTAAAATATAATTTTCTACCTATAATATTATATACAGGTATCCATATTTATTTTCTACTTATAATATTATATAATCGGTCTCAAATACTTCTTGGCTTCGATTCGAAATCCTCAAACCAAACCCAAAAACCTTGATCCATATTTCCTTCAAACGAATAGGAACACTCAATACTCCAAGTATCGACACATTTATACAACATATAATATCATTTTCTACCTATAATATTTAATAAAAGTATCGATATTTATATTTTACCTAGAATATCACTTTCTACCTGTAATTGGTCTCAAATGCTTCTTTACTCCAAAACCCCAAACAACACATAAAAACCCTATTTTCGATTATTGTAATAATAAAAAACTAGGGTTTCGATAACATATTTTTTTATTCGACTGCAGCAACAAACAAACTTCGCTTTAGAAACGCCTTCTGAAATGCAGCAACAATTACGCTTCGATTTCAAAAACTCGTCCGTTCTATCTACTTTTCAAAGGATATTTAACTATGTCCTTTATATTTTCACCGGATATGTTATTTATATTTAATCGATCCAACTACAAAAGTGTCGATACTTTTATGTCAGGTGTCGATACTTTCGATAGTATAATTACCTATTTCTTTGAAAGTATCGATAATTTATTACGTGTACTTATTAAAGTATCGACACTTTCAATATATTCGGTAGCGCTTTACCGATTTTTTCATTTCAATATCGGTTTTGTCATATTTTTACCTGTTATATCGTTGTGGACCGATACATTGTTATAAAGTATCGACATTTTATAGGCGCTAAAACTGTTTCTCTTTTAAATTCACAAAGTGTCGATACTTATATTAAAGTATCGACACTTTAAATATATCTGGTCGCTCTATACCGATTTTTTCCTTTAAGGACCGATTTTGTCATATTTTTACCTGTTATATCGTTTTGGATCGATACATTATTATAAAGTATCGACACTTTATGGGCACTAAAACTACTTCTCTTTTAAATTCACAAAGAGTCGATACTTATATTAAAGTATCAACACTTTAAATATATTCGGTCGCTCTATACCGGTTTTGTCATATTTTTACCTGTTATGTCGTTGTGGATCGATCCATTGTTATAAAGTATCGACACATTGTGAGCGCTAAAACTGCTTCTCTTTTAAATTCACAAAGTGTCGATACTTATATTAAAGTATCGAAACTTTCAATATATCTGGTACCGCATTACCGGTTTTGTTATATTTTTACCTGTTATATTGATGTGGATCAATACAGTTTTATAAAGTATCGACATAAACCGCCAAGCTAAGTTTGTTGGTTGCCAAATTTTTTAATATTTTTTCATGATTTAGACCTACTACATTATTATTACTCAACATTTCCGGTAGCGCTAAACCAAATTTATTAAATATTTTTTAATATATCCGGTAACGCCGTATTTTAGTCGTATATTAGCCCATCTTTCCTGAGACAATCCCATGAAATTTAAATCGTTACATTGTTTATCCAAACCATTATTTCCGTTAAAAACAACATAGATAAATATGTATTTAGTCACTCAACTATTTTCATAGTTATGTTTTAGTCACCCAATTATTTTTTCTTTCAAAATAATCATTAAACTTAAGTTTTTGTTCCATTTTAGTTAATAAATTCGATTCAATTATTTTTTTTAAAAAAATTGTAACATATAATAATTTAGTTATATCACATATTTTTTTTACTTAATATATAAATTTAATTTATAATAATTAATAATATTATAATGTAAATAATAAATAGCATATTAAGTTGATTGTACTTAGAATTTTAATAAAAGAAATATAAAATGTTAACTTAAAATATCATACATATTTTAACAAATAAAAATATGAACAGGTCATTATTCGATTGTAAATATATATGTTTAATAAAATTTAAATCTCATATTTTGAATCGGACTAATTTTAGTATAAAATATATTATATCACATATACAATCAACAAAAGGGATCTCATGTCATTCCATGCCTAAAAATATTGGGGGGAAATTAAAGAAAAATGGCGTCAACCGGACTTGAACTGAAGAGAAACTCGAATCGGAAAACTTCAATGTGTTAGACTGACATGATAACCAACTACATCATACCTTAGCTGCTGAAGCTTAGTACAGTTCAAAACTATATCGTAGTGGGTGTTGTAAAAGCAGACATCTTGCTTTATCGGCTAACGAGTGGTAGTAGCATATAGAAGAAACAACGTGTAAAGTAATGTGTTGAAATTTAATGAATGAAAGAAAATGAGTGTAGGAACCATTATTTTCACCAGTAGTGTCAGAGAAATCGGAATCCAATATGAAGAGTTAGAGAGATTGGTTTGAGCATCACCACGCACATCAACTATATATAAATGAAAGACGTTGTTTGATAAATAAGCAGTGATTGGTCCAGGCTTTGGCAGTGCCTTTGAGTGATGTTATCATATCAAACTACAAATGTATTGGTTGGCACTGTAGGACCTTCGTTTCATCACCAAAACAAAGCATGGTTAGTTGATTCAAGTTTTAAGTTTATAGAATCTAAAGAAATGACGCATTTCAACGTTGAAACATAAATATTCCACTTTTGTTAGTTGCAGCCTCCATCTGATACATAGCATGTTTTCAATGCATAAACCGATTTGGTGGATTGTCGACCGTCGATTATTATAAATTAAATTTATAATTTGAGTACAAAAATATGTGATATAAATGAAATATTATATGTTACAATTTTTTTTTAAAAATAATTGAATCGAATTCGGTGACTAAAATGAAACAAAAATTTAAGTTTAATGATTATTTTGAAAGAAAAACTAATTGGGTGACGAAAACAAAACTATGAAAATAATTGAGTGACTAAATATATAATTTACCCATGTTGTTTTTAACGAAGTTAACGGTTTAGGACAAACGAGGTAATAATATAAACTTCAAATGATAAAACGTTCTTAAAAATACTTAAAGGACAACTCGATATAAATGACATTTTAACGGGGCAACGATGCACTTAAACCTTCTTAAAAAAATTAAGGGTAAAATACATTCTTTCAATTATTAGTTCCGTTACTATTTTATTACAAAATCTCTCCCCCATTGAAACATAAATATAATGGGGCTGGCAAAACAAAACTTCTGATCTTTGGAATTTATACATTTTATCAATTTAGTCTTTACTTAAAATAATTCAATAAAATTTACCTTTAATATCTAAAAATATCACTTTAGTCATTTTTATGATTTCAACGATCGAACAAGTCTATCAAATCAAATCAACAATCAGATAACTATATTTTACTGTAAATCAACAAACTATTGTTAAACCACTATTATATTAGAAACGTCATATAACATTTCTAAAAGAATGACGACAATTAAATTTATTTATGATAATATTTTAACATTATAAAAAAATAAGAATCATTGTAAATAAAAAAAACTTAATTATGAAAGTCAAATAGGCATTAATTAAATCGAGAGATTATAGACAATTTAAATTTGGTTTAAAGAAGAAAAAAAATTAACCCGAACCTATTCAAGCATTTAAAAGAAAATCGAAACCAAACCTATTCTGCTCGACACATGAAAGCACAAAATTTTTAAAATGTCGATTTCGGTTTTATACAGATTTTTGGGAAGCTATTTATTTATTCTAAAGCATGAACGCAAAAGAAAAGGGGGAGAAAATGAAAACAGCAAGCCTCCTCTGCTATTAGCTATGCACGATGGCGTTTATCACTAGTATGGAAATATAATTAATTTAAAAGACGAAAGCAGTGTATTCTCCACCTACATGCTAAGATTACTGAATTCTGAAGTTGCAGTTGTTAGATCCTCGGTATCTGTATCTTTCTTCTCTTTGTTGGATAACAGTCCCTCCTTGTTGAAGTTTGGTGTATTTCTTGATGCTGGGGCCGAACAGACCGGTACAACGGATCGTATTCTAACTGTTGGTGCAATGGAACTGCGATGTGTACCACCAAGGCTCATTCTCTCGAACCTTGGTCTGGCTGAAGAAGGTGGAGCTCCAGTTCTCATTCTTGGTGGGACAGGAACCTGAGTTGCTGGCTCTTGCATGTTTGGTATCATGGAAGAAACCGGTCTGACTGTTGGGATCATCTGAGGAGCTGCTGCATAGGATGGTGGTGGTATAGAATTTCTGGAATAACTTGTCCTTGCAGGATACTTTGATCGAATATGAGAAGATTCAAAGGCATGTGGATTTTGTAATCGGTCATTCACAGGGTGGAAAACTTTGCTTTCCAACTCAGCATTCTTCTTTTTGTGGTCTTCCTGTTTTGTTTCACCGATACCTGTTTCAGCAGTAGTTTGACACGGAACAAACCGATCAATCACTACAGGTGGTGGAGGGTTTTTGGGTGATTCCTTGATCTCTTCATGTATCTCTTGAATGGTCACTGTAGATCTTCCCATGGTTGGTTGAGATGCTAAATGATTAGAGATGCAAAGAGAAGGGCGTGATGTAGAAATTGCGAGCCTTGGAGCCGTAAAGATAGGTTCTAGGTCCCTATCTTGAAATGAAAGATGACGATCTGGGTGTAAAATTGACTGCACATAAGGAAGAAATTGAGGACCAGGAGGAGGAACTGGAGAAATTGGAAATGGAAACAGATGGCTTTGCAGCTGCAACAGTTGTTCTTGCTGCCACATTTGGTATATGGGCAAGGCCATTTCCGGGGGAACACTAGGGTAAGGCCAACCTTCACCCTGCATAGGATATAAGCTTCGGATTGGTGGGGTTAGGTCTCGACATACAGGGACTGATCTCAGTTTTTCATTCCGACAATTGTTTTGCATAGACTGCTCTGCTTCTGATGATCGTAACGATGAAAGAAAACGAGCAACAACGACTTGCTCTTGTTCTTGTTTTCCTTTGGACTCCAATGAAGATGATGAAGACAAAAATGAAATGTCCCGAGACACTGCAGGCACAAAGCTATATTAGAAAATATTCACATCAAAGTTATGTTAGACATTGACATAAGGAAAAATGTGCATAAAAACATCAAGAGGAAGATTTAAGTGATTAACGAAAACTTCAACATAAGAAAGTTTTCAGAGAAAATCATAAAATGATTCTTTAAGCTTCGAGTGAAACATTTTTGTTGCAAATGAATATAATTATAGATGACAGTAATAAGTGGTATCCATTACGGGTATGTATCCACTATCCAATACAGACACATATAACTTTTTATTTTTAGTTTTTCCGTGTATTTAGAATATCCTTGGAGGGTTACTTATATGCACATAACTATGTCCGGATATATGTCGGACAATATATACCAGTTCATAAGTTGTTTTATAGCAGGCTAAGATTGTATGTTTTCTTCATTGTCTACCCCGAGAAATGCAACCTTGAGAGAGGAATAAACAGTGCACTAATTTGATTCTAAATGAAGAGGGACCTTTTAATACAGACGAAAGGAATCATACGTTTTCTAAGGGCCGACCATGCAGCCATTGCAGCATTCTTCTGAGCTTGTTTCTTAGTCTGAGCCGGATCCCCTGTAAAGCTCATCCCTGCAAGGTCAACAATGCAAGAAAAACTAGGAACATGGCCTGATCCAGATCGAACAGTGGTGTAGACCGGAAGATTTAAGCCAGCTCTATGAGCAGTCTCTTGAAGCAAGTTCTTATAGACACCTGTTTCATCCTGCGCAAAAGACAAATTCAGGAGATTTTTACTTTCTTTTCCCAGAGCAAGTAGTAGTGAAACAAAGTATACGCTTTAGGTCAACATATGTCCGCTCACAAAGCACAAAGAATAATTGCTCAGATTCATAGACAACAATATAAGGACACAAATTAAATCAGCTGCAGAGTCTGGCTCGAAGAGGGGGCAAACAGTTAACATCTAGAGTTTTTCTAGCATCCCCGTTGCTTATATAAAACTATAATTGATATTGTTAACAGGTTCAAAAACTTTGTATATGTCGCTCAACAATTTCAAGCGAACCACCAAAAAAAAAAACTTCATAAATCATTGTATTAAAAGGAAAGTTTAAGGAGATGAATATGCCGTGCAAGTATGCAGATATTTGATCTAAAGGGTGATATAAACCATGGACAGTACCAAAGACATAATTCATTGATGCAACTAAACCTTCCAAGTTCCAACAGATGACTGCCAAATCTCATTGTGTTCAAAAGATCCATCTCATTATTACCATGACTTATATTAAACCCTTATATGATGTCATTTTTCGATGCTAAAAAAATGTCGAGTCATTGCTTGATTTTAAATTTAAGATATGGCATTGACATCTCTAAGGATAATAATCAGTTACTAATAGAGAAAAAAAACGCCAACACACACAAGGTGTTCTTGAATTGCAACTCAAGATCAACCTGAGAAATACTTCAAAAAAGTATGTTTGGTGGACAATTCAAAATAAACTAGTTGAAGATGAATCAATTTGAAGAATTAGATCTCCAAGAAGAACACCGGTACAGATAGGAAACATCATTCAGTACGAGTAACTAAAAGTTATCGCTTTTCTTCAACAATGATTAAAGCAGCCTCCAAGACAAGGAAAAAGCGTGACAAAGAAAATGATTATTAACTGCAAGTTCTAGTGGCAAAATCAGTTTCAAGTAACAATATCTTTAACGAGGATAAAACTTTGGTTGAATGCTTACCAAAACTCTTGCAGCCAGCGCTTTTGAAGGGCCTCGGTTGGCAAGTGTATTTAGCGCTATTTCAGCTGCAGCATGTTCTGCTTGTCTCAAAGTAGAGGAAAACGTAGGGCTTTCAAAGGTCTCTCCATTAAAGTTTACGGTAGCTTTAAACTGAGGAGCGTGATCGGGGCCTTCTCGAATGCAAGAATAAGATGGCAGATTAAAGCAACTTCTTTGAGCCAACTCTTGCAATTGGTTCTTGAACATACCTACACAAGTAAGTAAAACATATTTATTCACAGAAATAAGCTCTGAAAACATACTGATATTTGCAACCCTCGAATTTAAAAATCAATGATTTAACTTCTCTTTCATATCAAACATTAAGAATCCAGAAAACACAAGAGAAACATTATAAGAATAATAATAACATTATCTCAAAATTTTCACTTCTCCTCAAATTTAGCAAAAATGGTGAAAACATACTGAAGGAAATATTGATCCCAAAAATTATTCAGGGATCTATGGTAGCCAAAAAAAATTTGTTCAAAGAGGTGCCCAGAAAAACCAAGCTCGAAAAGACCTTACATTTTCTTTTATTTTCCTAACACTTTCTAACCAACCAAACAGACACCAACGTCTCAATAGAAAACATGAATTTGATCCTCGCAATCTCTCACAAAAACAATAAAAGAGGCACCATGACCCCATGATCCAAATACCTAAATTCGTAAAATTAGGAAAAAAAACAATATAACAATCCATAATAAAGGAAAAGCAATTTCTGAAAATAAATTGATCTGGGTATAGACCAAAACCTAAATTATGAAAAAGAAAAAAAAAAGAAATTAAAGGGTAAGCGACCTTCTGAATAAGTAAAACTTCTGCGTACTCTTTTATTCTCGGGAAATTAACAGAAAAATTCTGGGTTTAATGAGAAAGTAACGCCCGTAGTGAAAGTAAGTATCATACTCCTTGCACACTAATTAAAGCAAATATTGGCTGTTTCACTCCATTCCAAAATTTAAAAGGTCTTTTTTATTTCGTGTTGAATTTCTCACTGTCTACAGATTGAGCCAGTGATGATAAGAAAAAAGTAAAAAATTACAAAATTTGTTGTGTTTTGATCAACGGAGAAAATGCTCAAAGGTTAAATACAAGTGAATTGCAGATCAAGTTAGAATTCAGTTCCATTTTCCGTTATTTTCTGTATTTATAAATAAAAAAAATTTATTATTATTATTTTACAGAAATTGAAATTAAAATAGTCTTTTCAATATATATTCTGTTAGTTATAAAGATCTGGTTGAGAATAGAGTGATTTTTTAAAAATAAATTATTTATTAGACCATTTATTTAATTTTATACTTTTAGATTATATGTAATGTTATATTTTCATTTTGATAAAGTTAGTATAAATGACATACTTAGGTCATGGTTTGACATTCTAAATTGGGGTTTAAATCTCTTAATTTTGATAATATAATTTATTTTATTTTTATTGATAAAATTAATTAATAAATGTGGTTGTTAATAGTGACATGGAAAATGATATAAAAGTTTAATAAAGTACAAACAAATATTAAATATAAATTTTAAAAAGGTTATGTGATAACCCAAAACTAAAAACAAAAATAAATGACAACTAAATAAATAATTTACTCAAACATATATAAAACCATCAACTTTGGTAGCTTATTGTAGTACATAAAGGAGCCATCTTCCGACCAAACTTCATTAAAATATCATCAAACAAACCAAAAACAAGTAAATAAACTGACACGGTCTAACAATTTATTTCTTATTCATTCATATCATCGTATGCATAAATGGTTTTCTTTTTCACACTGCCGTGCCACCATATTTTCGTGCAGCTTCTCTGCTGTCAATGGTTCTGCCGTAACTGCCCATCGGCGGGGGTCCGACAGTTGCACCGCCGTATCTTCTGTCAGCTTCTCTGCTGTCAATGGTGTTGGGATATCCATACCTGGAAGGGGGTGGTTTAACAGCTTCCTTTAAGTATTCCACGGCAGTGCCAATATCACTCGTTGGTTGGCTAAGATTATTAGACCCACCGTGATTTGGCTTAGACCATGAACCGCCGCCGGTTTCAGTGGTTCCGGTTGGTGTCTGACGCCAATATGTTGCGCTGAGAGGACCGAACTTGTTTGGTCGGCTAGCTTGGGTTTGGACTTTGGTAAGGAAATCCTCAACTTGTGGCGGACGTTCGTGAACCGGACTCGAAGGCCGGTTGATCCATTTCTCGTCGGTATGATGCCGAACAGGACTCAAACTCGAAGGCCGGCCGTTCCACTTCTCTTCGACACGATACCGAACCGGACTAGAAGGCTTAGTCCATTTCTCTTCAACATGATACTGAACAGGACTCGATGGTGGATTCCATTTATCCTCGGCGTGATACCAAACCGGACTCGAGCTCTTCCGCCATTTTTCGGGGCTTAAGGGCCTAGTGATCGGCTTACGCTCAACATGACCGTAGTCTCTCGCCATGTCGACTCTTATAGGAGCGCTTTGCTTGTATTCGGTCACATAAGTCGGCAACTCCACGACCTCGGTTTTCGTAACGTAATACTCGGTTTTGCCGGTCGGAGTAATGTATGACTTGACCGGGTTCCTCCTCCCACTGGAATCAATGTACACAGGCTGGCACTTATGGTCCGAATCATAACTTGTTTTGCTCCACCCATCGGCGCCGCCTCGCGGAACAGCGCCGCTGTTGTAGGTCGTGTAGCTGCCCCGGTACGTGTAACCATATCCGTCCATTGTTTTTTTCTTTCTTTCTAAAACTCTTTGGACTTTTCTTTCGTACTTATCGAAGATGTTTGAAGGTCTCTTTATATAGGAAAATTTCGGTGTTTCTTAGTTCGAGTGACGAAAGAGAGAATAACATCATCAATTTGAGGATCCTATGCCATACACTTTGAGAATCCCAGTCTTTACCATTGAGGAAATTATTTACAGAATTAGATTCGTTTCATTTGTAAGACAATGACTTCCATTAACTGTCTGAAAACATGCAAATTTCACATTATTCTGATATGGATTTGACCCTCACAATGCAGAATTCAGTGCCCATTCTTATCAGAACAAGGAGACGAAGAATAGAATCACTTTCCCTTGATGTGAATGTATGAAAAAAAAATGGTAGTTCAACAAAAATTAGAATATATTATAAGAACTCAGATGAGTGTCGGATAGAAATATATTTAATTTTTTTGATATATTTAAAATATTATATGTTATCATAAAGTATTATAGCCAGGCAGAATTCTTGTAAAGTTCAGTTACAGGACAAGAATTAAAGAATTGTAATTATAATTACTCATCGCCTTTTTCCAAACCCGAATTAGAATCTTTCTGCAATAAAAAGGAATGGTTTTCATAAATAGTGTGTTAATTACTTTATGCAGATTCTTCATAGCTTTAAGATAAGATTGTTGATGCTCTTTTTTCACAAATCCAGTAAAAAACGTACATATCTTTTTAAAATAGTAACAGTTTAAAATGTATTTTTCAAAAATCATAGTAAAATCTTCTAACCGAACGTCATATGCAGTTTCTCATAATTGCATAACTTAAGGGAATACATTGGGGCCTGAGAGCCTACCTAAGAAAAGCCACGGGGCCTACCCAAGAAAGATCTCGGGGCCACAGGGCCTACCCAAGAAATATCTCGAGGCCGCAAAGTCTACCCAAGGGTTGCCTTAGGTCCATAAGAAATTAACAGTCGGTGTTGAAACTATGCAAGGAATTACCAGCAGGGACTGAACCTACCAGAGTCTTCAGTCATACCAGAGTCCCAGAGTACCACGTATAAAAATAGTTTCAATCAGTAAACAAATATATCAGAAATCAGAGCAAAGATCATAATCTTATCGGGCAGGGAAACACGGATCTTCAGTATACCAATAGAATACCAAAAATTAGAATCACTATCAAAAGAGTTCATTAGTTGACGAAATCATCAATTATTCATAACGTGATTTATTAGGATCATAAATTATTCATACATTTTTCGGGGCATAATGTAATTAGAAAGGTATTCAGAATCCTTTACATCTAAGTTACTTGTGTTTTCATATATGACAGGAGTGATTCTATTATTTAGAAAATCAAAGGCATTTTGTGTCGATCAATCGGAATATCGAGTTAACTCGAACTGTACAAGTCCTATCAATGATACCTGTCAACCAGTCAAATCGTTGCACTTCCAGAGAATTTACTTTTTAATACAGACAATTCTTGTCAAATTGATCATCTTCAGAATCATCACGTAATGGATCTTAAGGAGATAAACAGGTATTCCAATGGTCTTTATTCCAATTCGACACTACAACGTTATTAGGAAATGTCAATGTGCTTGATTTGTGGTTCAAAACCCTTATGGATGTTACAACATATAAGATCATCAGTGTTTCCAGACATATCCAAATTATTCATTTAATTCAAGGTTATTGGGGTACTTAATTCAATTAGTATTCAAGTTTATCCCGATCGCTTAGGAGTTTCTTGAGTAATTCGGTTGTTTCCGCAAATTCGATTGCATATATTACTTTCATTCAGTTCAACTTGATCATAATATAAGTTCTAAGGTCGTCTCCCTTATCATGGCCATCCATAGTCCTTTTTGCACTTTAAGGTGTTATCGTCATTCATTCAATTCTGTCAGTAGCATTACTTCAGATAACTTAGGCTTGAAAGTATTCTAGTTCCTTTAGAGTTCAGAGTACTTTATTCATTTGATCACTAGAGGTTATTTTCACTACTAGGGGATGTCTTGGTCCTTTTCCAATACAAGGGAATTTTTGTAATTTTTACCCCATAGTGCTATTTTTGGTAATTTTTACCCCATAGTGCTGCTTTTGGTAATTTCATATCCAAATAATCCTGATTTTTAACCTTTAAAGAAAATTTATCAAAATTTACGGATCTTGAAATCAATTCATTTATTATCGAATCACTGAATTTATTATTATTTCCAATTGATCTTCCAGTTTCTTACACGAGTCATAAGATTCATATTCTATTACCAACTTTTTATCATATTCGGATCGAGTTTAGAAATAATTTACTGTATAGATGAGACCAATCATATTCATCCTTGTATCTACCAATTTACAACATGTTCCATAAAACATGCATAAGGTAGTAATGTATTACCTCGATTTTTATACTCCACCGATCGAACATTTAATCTATATTTGATCACTCTCGAACTTGAATTCAATGTCCAATAATTACTCGGATACACAACAACTGAATTTACGTCAGAAATTGAACTTAATTGAGAAAACATATTGAATCTGAAGGTAAATCATTGAAAAACGGCTTACCAAGTGTGAAGTTGGCAAAAACTAACTTTGGATTAGGACTCAACATAAAATAAGGCTTTCTAGAAAATTTGACTTTTTTTGTCAACGGTTAACGAGTTGACTCGGTCAAAGTCAATGAGTTGACTTAGTTGAGTTGACTCGGTGATTGGATCGGACCAAGCGGGTCGGTGGGGTGGGGTGGGTTGGGCAGGTGGGTCAGGCTGACCCAGTTCTGGAAAACTCTTTGGACCAAAACAAGCCCCAAGAGCGGGTGGCGGCGCGTGATAGTGACAGTGACATAGGGATCGAGGAAGACGGCTGAACACTCCCTTAGCATTCTTACACCAAAAAATTCTCAAATCAATACCAATAATCAACTAAACCAAGCCAAACTATCACCAACAACCGATCGGTGACGGTGCGACAACGAGGAATGAAATCGGTCTGGTTTTGTTTGCATGTTACCGTTAAAGTTGATAGAAACTGCGATGAATGGCAACACCGACTAGGTTGGCTAGAATTTGACGAAAACAATGGCGAAATATTTAGGATTTATGTCGCGTAAAATATCATCGATTCACGACAATATAAAGGTGTTTCAGGGCGCGACGATGCTCGGGCTTTGGTCAAGATAGTACAATGGTTCGAACGGGGATGGTAGTGCATCGAACAGCGACCGTACGTCGACGAATTTAAGCGATGAAAGTCGATGAGGGTTGTATTTTGGGGATAGAGATTTAGAGATTAAATTTGGGGATTTTTGGGGGGTAACCGGGTTTAAAATTTACTGATCATTAAAAATATGACAATTCAGGTTCAAGTCCCTGAATTTCCCACAAGTTCTAAAACTAAGCTATAACTTTTAAAAAATTTACAATTTAGTCCTCAAAATTTTCTTTGTTACGACTTTAATTTGACAATTAAAAACTAGCCCTTAAATTAGGGTGTGACAATTCTCCCCTCCTAAAAGAATTTCATCCTCGAAATTCACTCTAGTCATAGAAATGCAAAAATGAAACTTCTATCAGGTCTTCAATATCTTCAAGTAGCTTTTACAGAAGTATGTGTCCTCTACTAATCTTTATCCAGCTGAATATACATTCTCGTCAAAACTCTTCCTTATTCCCAATAAAAAAATCTGAACGCAATTATCCTTATGGAATCAATTCGACCTTGGTTAGGAGGTTAGGTTCATAGAGCGGCAACATATCCCAATTTCATTTCTAGAGTCGGATCAAAATTTCTCGGATGAGTAACTCTCACATTACTCTTGAGGCTCTTTATAGAATTTGGACAAATGTTACTAATATTCCTTTATGCATAGGTCGAGCCCTAACGAATAGAAAACTTAGGTTAGCTCGTTACAGAGAGGGACTCGACTTTGGAGTTTTGGCTTAGAGAAGTACGGTTGTAGTCTAGGGGAATGTACTAATCAGACATCCTATGACATTCGACCAGTCGATCTATCTAGAAAAATTCGACTACGCCTAATCTCTGATACCATTAAATGTAACACCCCACATATCGATGCGGGTGACCCGATCTGATCTAAGGTGTCACATTAGGGTCACCGGAGCGACCAACCATAAAAATCCCATAAAATTTAAATTTTTTGTTAAAACATGTAAAATCATAAAACAATTTATAAACACAACAATAAAATTTAACAATATTCAGAAATAAAACATATTCTAGACTTGGATATAAAAACAAAATATAAGCTACATGCCCCCTAATCACATGCACCGTACTCCGTAAGTAAAGCCGGTAGAACTCTCTTACTGATGTCAATAGTTAAACTTGTTAAATCCTTTTAACCTGAAAAGGTGAGTAACAGAGTGAGCTTTGGAAATTTCAATAATACAGAACTACCAGATGATACTGAAGAACATGCAGATAACATATAAACATATGTTTCCTTATTGATTCATACATCTACACGAAAGATATATGCTAAGCTGAGGTCCTACTGATATCTTAGATTGTAAAAGAAAGTAAGATTTCAGTTTAGAGGGAAATATTTCGGATGACTGGGTTCAGGAGATCAGAATAGGGTGTCTAGTGTGTTCCCACAAAACTAGTGAAAAGGTACAGATCTTTTTAAAACAATAGAAGTTTAAAACGTATTTTTCGAAAATCATAGTAAAACCCTCCAACCGAACGTCATATGCAGTTCCCCAAAACTACATAACCTAATAGAGCACCTTGGGGCCTGAGAGCCTACCCAAGAAAGATTCTCGAGGCCATGAGCGTACCCAAGAAAAATATCGGGGCCACATGGCCTACCCAAAAAAAGATCTCGGGGCCATAAAGACTACCCAGGGGTCGCCTTAAGTCCATAAAGAATTACCAGTCGGTGTTGAACCTATACAAGGAGTTACCAACAACGACTGAACCTGCCAGAGTCTTTAGTTATACCAGAGTCCCAAAGTATCACATATAAAAATAGTTTCAGTCAGTAAACAAAGATACCATAAATTAGAGCAGAGATCAGAACAGAAATCAGAGAAAACATATCAGGGAACACACTAGAGGCTCCATATATTATTCGGAGGTACTTGATAATCCTATCGGGCAGGGAAACATGGATCTTCAGTATACCGATAGAATGCCGAAAATTAGAATCACTATAAAAAAAGTTCATTAGCTGACAGAATCATTAGTTATTCATAACGTGATTTATCAGGATCATAAAATATTTGGACATTTTTCGGAGGCACTATGTAATCAGAAAGGTATTCAAAATCCTTCACATCTGAGTTACTTATGTTTTCAGATATGACAGGAGTGATTCCATTGTTCATGAAATCAGAGGCATTTTGGGCATTAGGTTCTTGGAGAATTCTTAGTGATTTGAGCTGATAAGGGAGAAAAGAAGATTCAGGGCATTTACGATTTGTGTCGATCAATTGAAATATCAAGTTAACTCGAACTGTACAAGTTCCATCAATGATGCATGTCAACCAGTCAAATCATTGCACTTCCAGAGTATTCACTTTTTAATACAGACAATACTTGTCGAATTGATCATCTTCAGAATCATCGTGGAATGGATCTTAGGGAGACGAACATGTATTTCAATGATCTTTATTCCAATTCGACATTGCAACGTTGTTAGGAAATGTCGACGTGCTTGATTTGTGGTTCAAAACCCTAATATACGATACAACATATAAGATCATCAGTATTTCCAAACTTATCCAAGTTATTCACTTAATTCAAGGTCATCGGGGTACTTAATTCAATTAATATTCAAGTTTATCCCGCTAGCTTAGGAGTTTCCTGAGTAATTCGATCGTTTCCGCAAATTCGATTACATACATTACTTACATTCAATACATCTTGATCATAATATAAGTTCTTAGGTCGTCTCCCTTATCATATTCATCCATAGTCCTTTTTACCCTTTAAGGTGTTATCGTCATTCGTTCAATTGTATCAGTGGCATTACTTCGGATAACTTAGGCTTGAAAGTATTCTAGTTCCTTTAGAGTTCAGAGTACTTTGTTCATTTGATCACTGGAGGTTATTTTCACTACTAGGGGATGTATTGGTCCTTTTACAGTACAAGGGCATTTTCAAAATTTTTACCACATAGTATTTTTGGAAATTTCATATCCAAATAACATCGGTGTTTAACCTTTAAATAAAATTTATCAAAATTTACGGATCTTGAAATCAATTCATTTATTATCGAATCACTGAATTTAGTAGTATTATTTTTTATCGATCTTTTAGTTTCTTACACGAGCCATAAGAGTCATATTCGGTTAACAACTTTTTATCGTATTCGGATCGATTTTAGAAATAATTTACTATATAGATGAGACCAATCATATTCAACATTGTATATACCAATTTCCAACATGTTTCATAAAAGCATGCATAAGGAAGTAATGTATTACCTCGATTTCCTTACTCTACCGATCGAACATTTAATCTCCATTCGATCACTCTCGAACTTGAATTCAACGTCCAATAATTCCTCGGATACATAGCAACTGAATTTACGTTAGAAACTAAACTTAATTGGGAAACCATATTGAATCTGAAGGTAAATCATTAAAAAAATGGCTTACCAGGTGCAAATTTAGCAAAACGGACTTCGGATTCGGACTCCAGATGTTTAAAACCATAAAATTGGGCTTTTTGAAAAAATTGATTTTTTGGGTCAAAGTCAATGGTCAGCAGGTTGACTCAGACAAGTCAACGAGTTGAGTCAGTGACTGGACTGGATCAGGCGGGTCGGATGAGTCGAGTAGAGTAGGCGGGTTAGGTTGACTCGGTTCTGGAAAACTCATTGGACCAAAACAAGCCCCACGAGCGGGTGGCGACGTGTGACAGCGACGGCGGGCTTGGGGTGGACGACCGAACACTCCCTTAGCATTCTTACACCAAAACATTCCTAAATCAACTAAACCAAGCCAAACTATCACCAACAACCGATCGGTGATTACCCAACGACGGATCGGCGAAGGCACGACAACGAGGAATGAAACTGGTCGGGTTTTGTTCGAACGTCGCCATTAAAGCTGATGGAAACGGCGGTGAACGGCAACGTTGACTAGGTCGGCTGGAATTCGATGAAAACAACGGCGAAATTTTTGGGATTTTTGTCGCGTAAAAAATAGTCGATTCACGTCGTTATAAGGCGTTTCACGGCGCGACGATGCTCGGACTTTGGTCTAGGCAGTACGACGGTTCGAACGGGGGTGGCAGTGTATCGAACGACGGTCATACGGCGACGAATTTAAGCGATGAATGCCGACGGGGTGTGCTTTGGGACTAGAGATTTGGAGATTAAAATTGAGGATTTTTGGGGTAACCGGGTTTAAAATTCACTGACCATTAAAAATGAGAAAATTCGAGTTCAGGTCCCTGAATTTACAATTTAGTTCTCAAATTTTTCCTTGTTACGACTTTAATTCGATACTTAAAACTTGCCCTTAAATTGTGGTGTGACAGTATTATATTTTGTTTTTTTTAATATAGTTTAGTGTTCGTAAGTTATGATTTTCATTATCTTAATCCTTTATACAACTGAGCTTATACTCAATTTATAATTTTTTTATTATCATTTTGTCTTTTTTTTTAAAAAAACTGTTTAAATTAATTCTCGCAGGTTCATTGAATTTTCAATTTTTTTTGGATATATCTTCGACAAAATAATTGATTCAATTAAACCATCCATCCACTCACGTGCTCCAGATCTATACCTAACAATAACGCTTTCTCAAATCTATACCAAATATAAAGTTATGAATTGGCTGCCACGTTAAGATATTGTTATATCCAATGTCTTTTCTTTTTGGGTAATGTTGCTTATAGTCTTTATATTATACCTTGAATAAGTTTTAATGTTGATCCAATTTAGAAGAAAATGATATAGAAAATCAAGACAGAATAACACAAATTAATTGTCCTTTTTATTTCCAGGTGAAAAAAATAAGAGGAAAAAGTAAACATACTTGCTAACAATCTATTATATCTCCCTCACAATACAAATCTACAGAGCTTTCGACATCATATACCCTACTTTTTGCACGAACTTCACCTTCAGCTGATTGTACCCCGGAGTTTACAAATTGTTCTGCCGCTTGCATTTCGACCCTACAGCTTTTTCTCGGATGTACGGTGAAAGC